CCTACACCCTAAACCGTAAACCCTGAAGCTTCAAAGATCACCCGAGCAGCTTCGAAGCCCAGTAGGCTGAACGACACCCCAAACCCTGAACCCCACCCTCCTAGGGTTCAGGGTTTAGGGTTTAGGGTTCAGGGGTTTAGGGGTTTAGGGGTTTAGGATTTAGGGCCCTTCTTAACCCTGCTTATGGCTCTTGTAAAGGGGACCGTATTGAGAGGGTGTATCTCCCCAAGGGTCCCCCTAATATTAAGTCCTAGACCCATAGGTTCCATTGTAGTTCCTTTTTGGGGTTACCTTTTAGGATCCTATATATAAACCACAAAAAGGAACTACAATGAAGACTATGGGTAGACCCGAAATCCCAAATCCTAAACTCACCCCAAACCATACACCCTAAACTGTGCATCTGCAAAGAAGATGATGTTGTGCGCTGATTCCAATCAACTATCTGACTGATGTGCATATAGTCGGAAAAGCCATTCCTGAATGCTCCTTATTATAAATGCTATAGCATGGTATAGCCCAAACCTCTTTGCGGATCAGAGCACAAACAAGCCGTACGATCAGCGTTGATGCTGTGACCCTGGATTCAGGTAGTTAGTGACATAAATTTCCAACGCTGTAACAGCAATCAAACGCCGTTGCGAGGAGCTGCGGATCTTCCGGCGTCTTCGCGCCTAGGAAAAAGCCTGGCTGGTCGCGCCGCACAGCATAGTCGTGTAGGAAACCCCAAAACCATAAACGCTGTGAGAACCTTAAACATCCCCAACTCCTAAACACTAAACCAAGTTGCGAAGAGTGCGTTTCGTCGGGCATGGAGCTTCCATGTTGGGGTCTTTCTCTGTAGGCTTCATCGCAAAGTAAGCTTAGGTAGGCGTATGGAGCATTTTGTATTTTACCCTATTGGGCCTAAGATGATCTTATGCACAAACATTTCCTAAACCCTAAACCCGACAGTTTTCAAAAGGGTTTAAAGGGCCAACCTAGACTCCATTGACCATGCCCGGCCAGGCAGGCTTCGGGACGGGTGAAGGAAACATAAAATAGGGGCGTCAATGCTCAGAGCGGGGCTTTGGGTTTAGGGTTCAGGGTTTAGAGCTTAGGGCTTATGGGGATTATACTGTAACAATAAGGCCATCTTATTTTTGTATTCCGGCCCTTATATTTGATGTGGGAATGCCTGAGTTTTTTCTGCAGCTTGCAGGCCAAAGCCACACTCGAGCGCTGCGGGATGCGGCAGTATGTCCTGACGGAGCGCTGACCCACGCCCAAAACCCTAAGCTTTCGGATTTAGGGTAAACCCTAAACCCCAAACCCTAAACCCCAAACCCTGATTCAGGGTTTTGAGCTTTCTAAATCCCAAACCCTAAGTGCAAAAGTGCAAAACTCCAAGAGCCCTAAGCCATGAAGAGCGGTACCAAACCCTCGACCCTAAGCCCAAAGCCCCAAACCCTAAACCCGGATGCCCAAAACTAAAACCCGCGACTTAAATCCCTATGTAAACCCAAAGCCGGAAGCCCCGAGCTGCCAGGCTTCAGAGGGGTTGTAGGGGTGTAGGGCTTTGGGGTTTCGGGATTGTCGGGTGTAGGAGGTTAAGGTGCAGGGCCGTGTAGACTGTAGGGTGCAGGGCTTGGGGTTTAGAGTGTGTAGGAGTTTAAGGTGTGGGGTTCAGTCTGGGGGTTCAGCGTTAGGGCTCATGCTGCGCTGTGTCTTGTTGCATTGAAGGCTCTTGTGCTGATTCCAGGGTCGCTTGGGCTTTCGGGAGCTTGGAGCAAACCCTGGGCTAACAAGCTCCGAGCCGATTGAACACCCGAGACCCCTGCGCCACAAACCCTAAACCCTAAACCCTGAGAGATGTTGGCACCAAGTGCCCAAAAAGCCGAACTTGCCAACTCACACATTCGATGTTGACTGACACTTGAACGCTCCGTTGAAGGAGAACGGTGCGCGAGCGGTCAGGCACCGGAGCGGTTGAGATTGTTGCCGGTTCTTTTTGCTTCATGGAAGATATTTTTCGGTTCTTAGGAGAGCCCTCAACCCTAAACCCTAAACTCCGCAACCCTAAACCCTAAACTCCCCGATCCTAAACCCTAAACCCTAAACCCTAAACCCTAACCCTTAAACCCAACTCCTACAAGGCCTATAAAGCCCCCAACGCCTCGAACTTCAGAGCCCGAAGCCTCAAAACCTCGCAACTCTCTATGCCGATTGCCCGAGGGACCGGGTTTAATTTTAACCATACAACGAGCACTGGAGCTCCGAGGGTTTAAAGGTTTGGGGTTAAGGGTTTAGAGGCATTGGGGTTTAGGGTTCAGGGTTTAGAGTTTGTAGGCTTTAGGGTTTAGGGTTCAGGGTTTAGGGTTCAGGGTGTAGGTTTTATAGGGTTTAGGGTTTAGGGTGTAGGTTTTATAGGGTTTAGGGTTTAGGGTTTATAGGGTTCAGGGTTTGGGGTTTAGGGTCTTAGGTTTCCGAGGCACATGCCTAGGGATCTGCTGCGAGGGTGCCTTCGGTGGTGTTTCCGCAGGCCTGCAGGCAATGAGGCTTCTTGATTAAGATTAGGGTTTGGGGTTTAGGGCATAGAGTTTAGGGTTTAGGGTTTAGGCTTGCCGGATTTGTGGAGTCACAGACTCGTTTAGTGTGCCCGTGTCTATGAGCGGAAGCATGAATACTGGGTGAGATTCCGCGATCGGGGATCAATTCAAAGTTCATCGAGTGCATTTAGTGTTCGGGGTCGCAGTAGGGTCTCAAGACAGCCAGTCTTACCCCATCCCGGCAGCACAGCTCCTGGCATCCGTAGGGCCTGAAGTGTGAGTTCTAAGCCCCGTGCCTTGGATTCTAGATCCGAAGCTCAGCCTTAAACGCTAGGCCCGACTCTCTGTACCCTAACTAAGCCCTAAACCCCGAAACGAAAACCCCGCAAAAACCCTAAACCCTAACACCGAATGTCTGTATGCGAAAGTCCTAAACCCTAAACCCCAAATTCTTAAACTTTAAATACCTAAATCCTGAGCCCTAAATCCCTAAACCCCTAGATCCCCTAAATCCTAAACCCTAAATCCCTAAACCCTGACCCCTAAAACTCAAACTCCGCAGCGCAGTTGTCGCAGGATCGCAGACAGCACGCCCGTTTGGGAGACGTGGCTCGAGGGTGCGGGGGCCCAGGGCGGTTGGGTGAATCTGAAAGGGTTCCTTTAAGGGTTCCTTCAAGGGTCCCTAAACCCTAAACCCCAAACCCTAAGCCCGAATTCCTACACCCTAAACCCCTAAACCCTAAACCTCAAGGGTTCCTTTCAGGGTTCCTTCAAGGGTTCCCTTAAGGGTTCCTTTAAGGATTTCTTTAACCCTACGCTTTCCTCTAAGGGTTCCTTCAAAGGTTCCTTTGAGGGATCTCTGAGGGTTTCTAGAAACTTCACTTTTGGGATCTTTAAAGGGTTTTTTAAGGGTTCCTTGAAGGGCTCCTTTAAGGCATCTAGAAGGGTTCCACAGGGGCCCAGGGCGGTTTAGGGTTTACGGCTCAAAGCATTTCAGGGTTTAGGGCTCCAAGGCGTTAGGGTGTGGTAAAGTACTGAGGTTAGAGTTTAGGGTTTAGGGGTTTGGGGTTTAGGATTCAGGGGTTTAGGCTTTAGAGGTTTGGGTTTAGGGTTTAGGGTACATTGTCGGACACTGTTCGTTGCGAGACAAAGCGCAAAAGCAGAACCCCAGAACGAAAGAGTCCCTGAGCTTGACACCATCTAAACCCCAAACCCTAAAACCTAAACCCTAGTACGCAACATCTTAACAGCCAAACCCTAAAAGCCAGAAGCGAGAGCTTATAACCTAGCACTAAATCCCCAAAGCCGAAAACCCAAAGCCCAGAAACCAGCGACCTTTGTCACCCTCTGAGTTCCTGCTGCCAAACTGAAGCTCGGATGCATCCATCCTAGGAAGTGATGTGTCGGCGACGCTCAGTCGAATAAAGGCCGGGCCATTTCCTTTGTATGATTCTTTTCTTGTTGTTGTTGTTGCTGCGGGAGGTTTCGGTTTGAGAGTTTTGAGGTAGGGTTTAGTAGAGGCTTTTGCCCCAGCGAAGCTGAGGGCCCTGAGCTGAGCAGTGAGCCCGAGCTCCAGGCGGCGCTGCCCTCCGCGCGCTTTGCGCAGCTGACCTCTGTGGGCGGTCTCGTCGAGGACGTGGACTCGTGGTCTTCGCTTAGAATCCTTCCACGCTACGATGGTATACGACACTATACCACTGTAGACTATACTATAATAGTAGGTTTCAATATACTATAGTAGCTGTATAGTATAATAGACGATTATATACTATACTATAGTAGGAATTATACTGTAGAAAAAAAATGAAAATAGAAGGGACGATGAGGGTCGACCATTACGACAGCTACGACTATCTATCACCGTCACAACCACTACACAGATGATTGCCACTATCATTGCTACTATTTCTCTTCGAGGCGTAATATGTCATTATTAATACCTTTGGCTACTCGTTGGCAGTATTACTACTCGACTTCGATTCTGACTATCAAGTGTTGCTTCTTGTCAGTGTGGGAAGAACCATGGTTTTTGGTAATACTCAATGCAGGATAGATCCTGATAAAACCCTCGAGGTCCCGCAACATGCCAAACCCTAAACCCTAAGCCCTAAACCCTCGAAGCCCCCGAGGCCTGTGACATCCCAAGCCCGACACTGAAGACCGGCAATGGAGGACTCGCATCCTTGGCTTCAGGCAGAGCTGTGCATTCCTGCTTTGGGATGCTAGGATTTCAGGGTATAGGTATTAGGGTTTCAGGGTTTAGGGATTAGGGTTTAGGGTTTGGGGTTTCAGGGTTCAGGGATTAGCGTTTAGGGTTTCAGGTTTCAGGGTTCAGGGATTAGGGCTTAGGGTTTAGGATGCATCAGGCCCATGTATTTTAGCAGAAGAACGAGCTGGGCTTGCTGGTTTTGGGTCACGTTTCACGATGCAGGCTCCGCGCCTTTGGCTTTGTGAATTTGGCAGCATCGTGGCTACCCACTACTTGCCCATGCATCGTTCAGGCTGATGCCACTCGTGCTGCGGCCGAGAAGATTTTCCCGACGCCTGGCTGCAGATCAGGTTGTGGGGATGTCAGTGACGGCCGTGACTGCAGCTCCCGCAATTGCACCTATACCAGCGTAGTGATGGCACAGACAGCACCAGCAACGACGCTTCCTCAGTCGCCCTCCTTTCGCTCGTCGCTGCTCAGTCCCACTCATACCAGGCGGAGTAGCACACCAGGCTTTGTTGAACAACAGCGACATTGATGTTCGCATTGGCTACGATGCTGGTCTCTACCGCTGATCTGATGATGAAGATGGTAGCGTGGATGGGGATTCCTTTTCTCTGTGAAATCTTGAAGTCCATCTTTTCCAGAGGTAAGAAGGCTGTTCGGCAGCTGTGCCTTGACTTTCTGTTGCTTTACGAACATGTATGCCGCCTTTCGGCAGCAGCTTTGCTGCTATTTACCCGCATGGCCCATTAGAAAACGGCCCATGTTTAAGACGCTGTTGCGCAGGCGCTTCAACAGTGCTAAGCCTCTCAGCCATGACTCCAGCATCGTGCGCTTCAGGAAAGCTGTGCCGGATGTGGCCCGGAACCTACAGCGACGCACCACAAGGCCATTCGAGATGGTCGGGTTCCGCTTTTGCGCTGGGGCTTGGGTTTTGT